GAGTACAACGCTCGATCTCAGCAGTTCGGACTCCGGTAAAAGCACTGAGAATGGTGCCGCTAGAGAAATTACTAATGAACACCGAGAAGGTGAAGGAGAGCACGTGAACAGCACACAGCGACTAGCGTACCACCGGCACCGAAAGGAGCACTGTTTGCCTGGAGGAGGATCGCCGGGGCCTCTTGGACCCCTGGGCCCAATCCTGTTCAATCGTTTCATTAATAACCATAGCACAAATACACAGAAGAGATCCGGGAAGTCTGGAGCACAGGGACCTCTTTCAAAAGGACGCTGGAAGAGCGAGCTCAGGCCTTGTAGGTTCGTTGGTCAATCACAGTTCACTCTGCGAGAGGACAGGAATACTCCTGGAAATAGCTCAGTGGCATAGAAGATATTTTAGGAAGATATTTTAGCACACATTCAAGTAGAAGCCAGAGAAGCCCACTACCCCGGGAGGAGTGAGGTGACAGGACAGCTTTCCCACAAGAGGGACAGAGATCTAACCGGTTACATGACAGAGCCTGCTAACTTTACAATCGGCCTATACTAAGTCAACACCTACATCAGCAGGGAAACGGACTCAGTGATACTGGAATTCCCTCTAAGTCCCACATCCTTACCATAGGCTGCTCAGACAAGATTTCTGCTCTGGGTACAGCTACCACTCAAAGAAAAGGCAAATAAGATATCTGGATGCCCAGGGATGGGATGGTAAATAGGAGGAATCAATTGTAGTGAACTGCCTTCATTTGGCCGCAGCGTGCAACAATTGCCACCATCTTTAAAATACATTTCAGGTTCTTTCACAGACGAGTAACAAAACCTGCCACAGGCTGGAGAAAAACTCTCACATGGAACGGAAAAACCTAACACAAAGTATTGGCGGTGGATCTTGAGAGAGATGAACAGAGAGAATAGTCACCAAAGTACACTGACTGCTCAAAGAAAGGAAACGAAGGAGCTTGGTTCTCCCTCTCCTGTAATGCACGGAAGACTGTGAAAGACAGAACTTGATTAGAAGAAACAGACTGTCATAAGGGCTGGCAGTGGACTGTAGTGGTAGACCCACAAGACAACAACTTGATAACATGTCCGTGCAGCCTCCCAGCCTGGTTCTGCTCTCCATTAATGCTGGCTGGGAGGAGGGAGAAAGGGCAGATCTTCTTCCCAGCCTAGGGAAGGTGTTTCACACCTCGTTCTGAAGCCACCGATACGGCCTTCTGCCTGATGCTACAGTCCTGGCTGGCTTTGAGCCAACAACCCATCACCTGGTTTCTATAAGCTGAGCTCATCCTCTGATGGGGCCGGGGAGATGTTCTGATCTCCACATGATCTAATGCAGGTCCCCTTCTTCTCTTACCTGTAGTCCCTGTACACGTAGGCAGGTGGTTCTTTCCAGCACTCTTGCCCCTCAGGATCCAAGAGGCAATTATCAGCGTGGACAGGATGACTGAGATCCATGCGACCTTCCTGTTCCTCTGAAAAGGGAAGTTACAAAAAAGAACAGGGGCATTTTCAGTTGCAAGGGAGAATAAGGCAGAGCGAAAGGGACACAGTGAGAGCAAAGGAGAGAGAGTCTCCTGAGGGCACATGGCTGGGGCTGAGGAGACTCTCCAGGACACAGGGACTAGCAGGGTGAAAGATTCTTTACCGTCTACAGCCGTGCGGCACACAAGGTGTGTGAATGAGAAATGGAGTTTCTTTCCGGGAGTAAAATAGGACTCTATGATTTTCCGCGATTTCTCACTGGCCTGCAGAAGCAATTTGGCGTCTCTCCAGTCCACGTCCCCATTCTGGGCCAGCTACGAGTGAAAAACAAGCCTGTTAGAATACTTACATACAAAGATACTCTAAGAAATGATACACGTACAGAATACAGAAGAGACCTGTGTCACACATGTACGAAAATAACGTGCTTTCTCATGTAAATATAAGTCAGGAGTACACCTGTACAGCACAGCAATTCTTTCCTTCTACTCAGCACATGAAGCCACATCTGGAACGCAGCATCATTTTGGGTCCCCCAGTACACAAGGGACACTGGCAAACTGGAGCGAGTCTTCAGTGAAGGGTCTTAAAATGGCATCAGTGTTGGAGCACATGACTTGGAAGCTGAAAGAGCTGGGTTTCTTCAGCCTAGAGAAGGCCAAAGGAGGATCTAATTACAGTCTCCTATCACCTAAAAGGGGGTTACAGAGAAGATGGAGACAGTCTCTTCTCAGAGGGAAACACTGAAAAGACAAGAGGCAACAGGCAAAAGCTGCAGCAAGGGAAATTTTGGTTAGATACGAAGAAAGACTTCATCCTCCCAAGAGTGGTACAGCACTGAAACAGGTGCCCAGAGAGGCTGGGGAATCTCCACCCTTGGAGACGTTCAGGACTTGCCCGCGCAAAGCCTTGAGGGATCTCATCTAGCTTTGGAATTAGCCATGCTGTGAGCAGGGGGTCAGACTAGAGATCTCCAGAGGCTCCTTCCACCTTAATTTATTCTCCAATTCTAAGCTAAGCATGTCTGTAAGACTACCGCACAGGGACAAGTAGCAATCCCGAAAGAAAAGGAGAGAAAGCATTTGTCAAGCCCTCCATGTACAACGTGCCTAAACACGATCGTGGAGCAACAGGGTCAGAGGAGACCGCACATGTGCTTGTGAGGAAGATAACACACCCACGACCCCATCCGGAGCGCACTTCACAGAGAAAAACGCTCGGGTG